GCAATGTCTTTCAACACTGCTTCCAGATCTGGCTTATCCAGGGTCTCGAGGTCCTTGCCAAAGCCATGCCGGACAGAATTGGTTAAAAGCCCCATGGAAGAGAGGGTTAGAATCTGAAACAGAACCGACATCCCATTAGAGGTGAAATCATAGCAAAACGACCGCGATTGAGGGGAATCACTTACCAGGGCCGCAATCATCAACACATCGTCGAGGTGGAAGTGACGGATTTTAATCTTAGCAGCGATGCGGAGAATGAGGATGAATGTGGTGATGCCGACGGCCGCCCAGAGACCACTCAACAGGGCCGGGCCGGCATTCGAAGAACTGTCGGAACTCATCTTGACAGGGAGCACATCCTGGCAAACCTCATTGCTTCAGTGCCAGATACGAGGTAGATATATCTCCGGAGGGTTTGAAAAAAAAGCCGACTTTGGGGTTGCAGTTTTATAAGCTTTCGGGACCAGGGGAAATACAGTTTTGTGGCCGTGTCAACAGTGACTTGGCGAGGACAAGCAAAGCAGCAAGAATACGAAGCAACTGCAGTGGCAGCAGCCAACAGCAGCCATGGCAGTAGTTAAGATAATTTAAGCCTGGCGCTGTCCGAGAACCGTGGCACACATTGGCGAGCACCCAGCCAGATTTTTCGATCCTCCTCCAATTTCTGAGTCTAACTCTTCCCTTCCGACACAGCCAATGTAACTCCAGCATGGCAGCTTGCAACCCAGTGGAAATGCGGTCCCTTCCCCAATGGGCGGCTTAGTCCGATCGCTGGGCAGGACAGGCTCGGTCACTTCGATAGTAGTCTAGTGGTCTAGTGGTTCTGGGCTTGGGCTTCTGGGTTGGCGCCACGCTTGTGGACACAATCACCACGAGGAGATGAGAACTCTAACCTCCCTGCAGAAATGATCATCACTACCACATGGCACTGAATCCAGAAACCATGTGCAAATGACGCCAATCTAGTCTATCTTTAGGGCGCCGTTAACAACTAAGTTAAATCTTAGTCCTTTAGTCGGTGTGCTCGATCTGCAGTGTCTACCTCCAGTCTGGATGGTCCCTTGCCCCAAGCGTTGGATTCGACAGGATGCTGGGTCCATGGAGAAGTGTGGGAAGGGGGGTTGAGGACTGAGGAGAAAAGAGCAGTGGTGGGTCAAGGTCGAGAATGCGGCAGCAGGTAGGCAGACACATCGGTGACTTCTTTCACTTGGAGGTTTTCCGCTGTCAGTCGGAAGTCCGTGACTATGGGTACGTGGCCCAGAGGGAAGCTATCATTAGTAGAGATATCATGACCATGGGTTTTGAAATCTCTTTACCCCTGAGCGTGTGAACACGAAGAGAAGGTCCTGGCGCTGAGCAGCTGGAAGTTATGGTCTAGCATCGTGAGACAGGTGCCTTGCCCAATGCGGGTGCCGTAACCGATAGCAATATTATTCAATAATTCCAGGGATGCCCGGATGAAATTCAAGCCCGCCTTAGCCGGATGGTGAAAGACAAGCCCTAGTAGTAGCCAGCTGCCAGCAGCCACCAATGACGCCCAGGGAGTTTGGCTTTTGGAATGGTGCAAAGCCTAATATGGCCGCATTCCAATTGTAAGGCTCGGAAGACAGCGGAGGAATGCACAAGTGGATTCTGCAACTGATGGCTCCTTGGCACAGTGCCACAGTGCGAGAGAAAGAGAGAAAGAGAGAGAGAGATTGAGAGAGAAAGAGATAGTCTAGAGATAGGAAGCCGGAAATGGAACTGGAACTGGAATAATAATGCCAGGTGGAGGCAAGCAGACACTGCAGTGGGCAGACCTCGGCCACCACTGGAAATTGTCCCCACCTGGCCGAGTGCGGCACCTTGCCTCTTGCAGTTAGCCTGCATCCATCCAGATTGAGCGACTTCCGATTTGCCGAGCTGCGGTACAGTACACTCAATGGCCTGAGTGAGTCCCGCTATCTAGACTGGTCCACCGTTCCTCGGTTCTACCACCACTTCTCCTGGTTGAAATCGTTGAGACCAAACTCACTAAATTCACTAACTGACTAACCTGACTCCTGCAACATTATTAGTATTATTATTCTTCTTCTTCTTCTTCTCTCTGCCTGGCTGTGCCTGCATCGCACCACGGATCTTCCCCACTATCCTCCGTTCCCCTCGAACTAAACGCTCTTAGGGAACATCTCCGAGATGGCCTGCTTCCAATAGCTCTGCTCGTCGGATGGATCGTGATATGGTCTGTCCGTTTAGTACTCACCAACTGGAAGTATAAAGCACCTCTACTCCCATAATCATCTTCGACTTCACATCCCAGTCGATCTTTTAGCAGCCCTTCTACTTTTCATCCTCACAATGAAGGCTTCCTGGGCTTTGGCAGCAGCCACTGCTGCTCTTACTTCCACGGTCTCCGCCACCGACTCCAGCGATTGCCACTGTCTGCCTGGTGATGACTGCTGGCCCTCCACGTCCAGCTGGGACACCTTGAACAGCACGGTGAACGGTCGCTTGATTGCGACGGTTCCCATTGGTACTCCTTGCCATGCTCCCAACTACGATGCTGCTGCGTGCAAGGAGCTGCAAAGCAATTGGTACTACCCGCAGACCCAGTAAGTTTACCCCCAAAGGATATGCACACCTCTTGTCGCATCAACAAAGCTAATTCCGCGCCGCTTCACAGCATGGACACTTCCTCGTCCGTGATGCAATCCTACTTCGCCAACCAGAGTTGCGATCCTTTCACCTCCGTGGATAGACCTTGCGTGCTTGGCAACTACGTGGATTATGCCGTCAATGTCTCGTCTAGCGATGAGGTCGTTGCGGCTATCAACTTTGCCAAGTCCAACAACATCCGTATCGTCATCCGGAACACTGGCCATGAGTGAGTTTCTCTGACGTCGACACATAATGATCCACGGCTAACAGCAGCGTTAGCTATCTTGGTCGTTCCACCGGTGCTGGTGCTCTGGCCATCTGGACCCACCACCTGAACAATATTGAATATGTTGACTGGTCCGATTCCACCTACACTGGCCCTGCCTACAAGCTCGGTAGCGGTGTCATGGGATTCCAGGTCCTCGATGCTGTCCACGCCAACGGCCACGTTGTGGTTGGTGGTGAGTGTCCCACCGTTGGTCTTGCCGGAGGTTACCTCCAGGGTGGTGGCCACTCTGCTCTAAGCACCTCATTCGGTTTGGGAGCCGATCAGTCGTTGTCCTTCGAAGTCGTCACCGCTGCTGGCGATGTTGTGACGGCCTCTCGCACCAACAACACCGACCTATACTGGGCCCTCAGCGGTGGTGGTGCCGGTAACTACGGTGTTGTTCTGTCCGTTACCGTCAAGGCCTACCCGGATGCCACCGTTTCCGGTGCTGGCGTTCAGTTCACCGCGGCCAACGTCACGACTGACGTCTTCTTCGAGGCCGTCGCCCGCTTCCACGAGCTGTTGCCTGCCATGATTGATGCCGGTACCACCGTCATCTACGAGATGACCAACAGCATCTTCCTGATCAACCCTTTGACCGGTTTCAACAAGACCACCGACGAGGTGAAGACCATCATTGCTCCTTTCCTCTCTGCCCTGACCGACCTGGGCATCACCTATGCTGTCTCCTACACCGAGTACGATTCGTACTATGAGCACTACGAGAAGTACATGGGCCCTCTTCCCTACGGCAACCTGGATGTCGGTACTTACAACTATGGTGGCCGCCTGATCCCCCGTTCCGTTCTGGACTCTAACGTGACCCCCTTGGTCTCTGCTCTCCGCAACATTACCAGCGAGGGTATCATCGCTGTCGGTGTTGGTCTGAACGTGACCAGCTCCAACGACGTCGCCAACGCTATCTTCCCCGAGTGGCGCAAGGCCGCCGTGACCATGCAGATTGGCGCTGCCTGGAACGAGACTGCCCCTTGGTCTCAGATGGTCGAGGAGCAGTACCAGATGACCCACCAGGTTGTGCCGCAGCTTGAGGCCGCCACTCCTGGTGCCGGTGCGTACCAGAACGAGGCGGACTTCAACCAGCTGAACTGGCAGGAGACCTTCTTCGGCTCCAACTACGACAACCTGACCCAGATCAAGAACAAATGGGATCCCGACCACGTGTTTTACGTTCTCAAGGGTGTGGGCAGTGATTACTGGACCGTGTCGGAGTCGGGCCGTATGTGCAAGGCTTAATTTTTCTGTATATGTGTCTGATATAAGTTACTCTGTATTCTTGGATGTATATCATGATAGACGTGAACTATAGATTTAATTAATTATAGACTGATTGTATTTGTCGAGACATTTTTATCATGGGCGGGGTTCAGTCGATGAAATGGTTTGGTTTTCAGTGTATAGGGCATGCGGATGAAAATCTACTCTTCAATATGAAGACGTGTTTGTCCATGCCAGGGTCTGGCTTTCGATATCACCGCAATGATCCAAGGTTAGCAAATATGTCAGGGTACATGCGGTACGCAAGGATCTCCTGCTGCTGCTGAAGTGGTGATCATGATATCACGCAGTGGGCGGCTAGACAAAGATACCGGACACGAGCTGTCAATTCCACTACTGAAATGTAAGCCACTTGTCAATATAATCCCACATCATGCAGAGATAATGGAGCTTGCCTTTCCAGCAACGTACGTCAAGGGTCCAAGCCATCCACCAACGACCCTTCTACACGATGCGCCTCCAATAACCGAACTGGAAGGCAGGAGATTAAGTGGACAATCCATTGCGCGTCCGGTGGCCCTCGACCACCAATCAAGGGGTCTAGCCCGCTCTCCGCCTACCGCAACAGGCAAGATCCATCACCGCCCGGGGGATGATCAGACAAATCGAGTCCACTCACTATACTCTAATGCTGTCTCTTCGTCCCTTCTCTGTGCCGTCCCTGTTTTAATATCTCTTTCCCCCCTCCCTCCCTCCCCGCTTTCTGCGATGTGTTATATTCTTCTTGACCGTCGCTGTCTTCTTTACAGTTGACTTCTGCCATTCTTTCGACTAGTCTTTACCTCCGCCCTTTCGGGGATACGCTCTTTTACCCCCCCCCCCCTCTTTCATTTACAGCACACACACATATCGCCGATGACCGATAATCGACCAGCATGATCCGCACACTCTCCCTCGCGTGCAGCGCGCTGCACCTCCTCATCCTCCTCCTGGCCACATCAACCGCGGCCGACAACTTCCCGTACGTGGGATTCCGGACGGCGGCGTTCCTACCCCCGCAACTCAAAGTGACCAAGACCGGCGCGACGGACCCGGGGTACATCTTCGTCGGGCCGCGGGGCAACCAGGGGCTGGGCACGGCGGCGCTGATCTACGACGAAGAGGGCGAACTGGTGTACGAGGGCCCGCCGGAGGTGACGGCCAACTTCCGGACGCAGCGGCTGTACAACGAGGAGGTGCTGACGTTCTGGGCGGGGGACATGACGGACCTGGGGTTCGGGTACGGGACGGTGCACATCCTCGACAACACGTACCGCGAGATCTACACGGTGACGCTGGGGGGCGACTTCGTGTCGCCGTTCACGGAGCCCCGCGACTCGTACATCGACCTGCACGAGAGCCACATCACGGACCGCAACACGCTGCTGGTGACCGCGTACAACGTCACGCAGCACGACCTGACGGCCGTCGGCGGCGCGCCGGACGACTATATGCTGGACGGCATGTTCTTCGAGATCGACATCGCCACGAACGAGATCGTGTACGCGTGGAGCGCGCTGGACCATCTCGCGGAGATTCCGCTGGAGGGCTCGAAGCAGGGGCTCAGCGCGGAGTATGGCACCAAGGAGAAGCCGTGGGATGCGTATCATATCAATTCGGTGGAGCTGATGGAGGAGGGCTATATCATCTCGTTGCGGCATTACTGGTCCGGCTTCTATGTTCATAATAATGGCACGGTGATGTGGCGGCTAAGTGTAAGTTCATCCTGACCTTCGCGCAATTCGTCTGCTGTGTGCGCTGTATACGTTGTGTGAGGGCTAACTCCGTCCAGGGGGAGAAGAACACCGGCGACTTCGAGATCGACGACCAGGCGGTCTTCTCGTGGCAGCATGACATCCGCGTCTACAACCAGACGGCCGAGGGCATGGTGCTGAGCCTGTTCAACAACGCCAACACGCCGACGGAGACGGTGGCGGCGACGACGGGGCTGAGTTTCTACGTCGACCTGGTGCAGCACAAGGTGTCGACGCTGCGCGCGCTGTCCGACGCGGGGGACGTGATCCACAGCGTCAGCCAGGGCAGCTTCCAGCTGCTCAGTCCGGAGTCGTCGCATGTGGTGCTGGGGTACGGGTCGATCGCGCGGGTCAAGGAGTACGACGCGCAGGGGCGGGCGGTGATGACGGCGCAGTTTGGCGAGGACAACGCGGTGGCCTCGTACCGCGGGTTCAAGTGCCAGTGGAAGGCGACGCCGTTCTGGCCGCCGGCGGTGGTGTCGATCCGCACGTCGGACGACCAGGCGACGGTGTCGATGAGCTGGAACGGGGCCACAGAGTATGACAACTGGGCGATTTATGGGGTGGTGGACGGGGAGGCGAGCTTCGTGAAGAGCGTGCCGCGGGCGGGGTTCGAGACGACGGTGCATTTGAGCGGGCTGACGAGTCGGTATATGCAGGTGGTTGCGCGGCAGGGGAATATCCCGCTGGGCACGTCGGCCGTGATAGATGTGTAGGTGGTGTATATAGAATAGCTGGAGCTAGACTCGCTGTATTGCACATCAGGACTGTTTACCTTCTTATTGAATAGACACATTAGAACTGTTTACCTTCACATCGTGTTTCCTCACTTGTCGCTTACTCCTAATGCTGGAATATCCACTGTAGCTTCTGTACAACTCATGATAAAGTAGTAGCACAGTCGCACCACACACTTACAACTGACGTCAACCATGTCGTAAACATACAGGAGTGGATTGTACAGAGGATCCGACCTGTCAAACGTCCACTCTCAACAGCATACACTTCCAACTTGGTTAGAACGAGCTGTATGTACTGTGTGTACTGTATGTACAGCAGGTCAAGCAACACCGTTGATGTGATCACCCCCATCAGCCCAGCCCACTATATAAACACCACCTCGAATATCGGCACCAGCACCAGCCAGTTCACCGCAACCCTAATCCCCCAACCAACATCACAAACACCTCACCCACGAATCTCTATCCTATTCGACCCACCTCAAAGCCTCAATCCAACAACAACCCTAACCCCCCAAAAATGCACCTTCCAACCAGATCCTTCCTCCCCCTCCTAACCCTAACAACCGCAACCGCCTCCCCCACCCCCCTCAGGAACCAGAATCAACCCAAACCCGCCAACGCCACAATAACCAACCAATGCCCCTTCCCCATCTACCTGACAGCAGTCTCCTCCTCCTCCTCCTCCTCCACCACCCCCCCGGAAATCCTTCTCGCATCAAACGCAAGCTACACCCAACCCTACCACCACGACCCGCACACCGGCGGAATCAGCCTGAAGCTCACCACCATCCCGAACGGGCTGTACACGGGCGCGGCGCAGACGATCTTCGCGTACAGCTACCTCGAGCGGACGGGGCAGGTGTGGTTTGATCTGTCGGATGTGTTTGGGGATCCGTTCAAGGGATTCAGGGTAAGGCTGGGGCCGTTGGGGGGCACTGGGAGCACTGGGGGAAATGGGACGGACTCGATTGTTTGGGAGGATGGGGTGCCGCCGAGGGGCAGTCAGGTTAGGGTTGTGGGGTGTGAGGTGGGGTTGGGGTTGGGGGTTTGTGTTTGATTTCTCGAGCTGGGGGGTGTCTTAAGCCGGAATTGGGATTGGGGGTGTTTGTTGATTTGCTTTACAGAGGTTTGGGGGTTTGTATTCTGCTTGTTTGTCGTGCATGAGGGGTTATGGATGGGTTGGGTTGGAAAGGGAGATTGATAGTCTTTGTTTGCTGGAATGGAATATGATTCTGTCTCGATATTGATTTTGATAACGTTGAGCTAGTGACGTATAATACATAAGTGAGTGTGATGGAGAAAGGAGCGTGGATTTATAATTCAATACTTAATAAGAGAACGAGTTACGATTCAGTCTCAATCCTGTGGAGCTTACTTACGATGGATGGAATATGGTGATGGAGGACGAATAGGCGGATCTACGATCGACATCCGAACACCGAGAGCCAGAGCAGAGCGACGGGACGACCTAAAACCCCGCATGTTCCGCCATCTCAATCATCCGATCCAATGCCTCCAACATGCGATCCCGGTCCTCCGACTCCACGCAGCCCAGCGACCGCCGGCACGTCACGACCGACACATACCGCAGCACGGGACAGACCTCCTTCATATGCGCCAGCACCTCCGACCACCGCGCATCGCTGCCGTGGCCGTACGTCACGCAGATCTGCACGCGCTCCAGCGTCGGGCCGTATTGTCCCAGAAACCCCATCAGGTCCGCGAGGTTGATGTACGTGCCCACGACCTCCACCCGCTTGAGCGGCGCGGGGCCCCGCACAACCGACTCATCCTCACCGGCCCAGATCGCGCCGCGCACCGGAATCACGTAGTCACGGAGGAACAGCCGCGGCGAGACGACGTGCTTGAAATCCTCGAGCTGCGCCGCGTTCTGCAGGATCATCGGCAGCAGCGCCCGCAGGTAGTCGATGGCCGCGTTGTCCTCGGGCTCGTAGACGTGCAGCTGGCGCAGCTCGGGCCAGATGCTCGCGATGTTCGGCGGTAGGTACGGCCGGGGCCAGGCGAGGAGCTCGGGCGCGCGGCGGCGCTCGGGCGCCTGCCGCTGGAACAGCACCAGGCGGCGCAGGTGAATCTGGCCGGCGGCCAGCATGCGGCACAATGCGTGCAGGCTCAGCATGTCATCCATGCGGTCCGCCTGGTCCGGCGCGCCGTAGTAGAGCACCACCTCCCGGCACTGCGCCAGCTGGTGCGCCAGGGTCTGGCCCAGCTTGCGCAGCGCCGCGTCCGTCCAGAAGCTGTCGCACGGGGCGTTGGGCGGATACATGGCCAGCCGCTGGGGCAATTTCTGGTAGAACTCGTGGTTGGCAATCTCGTCCACCTTGTCGTAGCCATGGGCATCGAGGGTCATTGAAAGAGTGCTCAAGCCACATTGCGCGAAGGGCTGCAGTGCTCTGGCGCTGACCCCCCGGGATACTGTGCGGAGGCTGGTCAGGGCTTCAATCGGGAGGTGCTCGGTCATCTGCCAGAACAGTTCTACGGGCATATTGTCCAGATTTTGGGGAGGTGCTGGCTCGCTAGACTCCGGATTGGGGGGATTTGCTGGTCTACTGGACGCCATCATTCTGGGAGTTCTACAACACGTATGCGTAAAGGCGTCAGAAGGGTGTCGGAAGAGGTGTCAAGAACAGAGGTGGGGGGCGGAGGTGGCAATGGAAGTGTGAGCTGGCGAAGCAGACTGCTTCTGTAGCATTTATAGTCTCCATGATTGGCTGCAAACAGGAACTGATGTCTATATCGTCGTTAATTCTTGATAAACACCAGTCAAGAGGAAGGACAATAGCATTGTTAGATGTAACAAAGAGCCAACCTTTTTGTCAACTTGCTGTCCCAGCTCAAATTTCTTCGAAGTAGACCTTATGCTTTGTTCAGCTCTGAGAAAGCCCACTATATTCTTCGTGTCTGCATTGTCGAATGATAGGGCTGAAGCAACAATCACGCTGGTACGGATTTGTGATTGAGCTGATATGTGTGCTCCATAGTCGCAAGGCAAGCCTGGCAGCTTGATGGCTTGTGTTGGAGACCGTCGTAGCTATACAGGCAGTCATTATTGAATCTGGCAATGCAAGATGAGGGTGGAGGAACCGTTCAGGTCAAAAGCAAGCCATTAATTAAAGTGGCTATTCAGCATGGAAGTTGGGAGTCTCGAACCTCTGCGTCGGGTACGGAGCCATACAAGACTCCAAGAGTCGTCCTGGACAGCATGCAGAAGCTTGTCATGCTTTGCAAGAAATCCGGGGAAATACCTCGGAGAATCGCTGCATGATGCATGCATGTAGCCACCGTGAGGGGTAGTCAATAGATTGGTCGATGGCGAAGTATGATGTGCATGGAGTGAGGGGAGAGAGGAGAAGAGCAGAAGGCGGGGAGCAAGCAAGCAACCACCCCGTGACTTGACCTCTTCTCCATCCACCACATCACATCCTGCATGAATGCGAGGCTCGGGCCCCTCGGAGAATTACATACGATCTGCACTCCTCAATCTATGCAAGGACAAGCCAATCGGAGAAATAGCATCATAGGTCCCAACTCCCAAGATCGAACCAGATTGAAGCTCAAATTGGACGACCGCCGGGTCTACTTAAACCTTCCATCAGAACACGTTCTTACCTTGAGCTCATAATAAACAATTCTTTCCGTTGGAAAAAGCAATGACTGTGGAATCCATCCCTCGAACCCAGACCGTAGCTCTGGTCAACGCACTCGGAGCCAGTATCGAGTTCCGCGAGGACTACCCCGTTCCTACCCCGGGCCACAATGAGGTTCTAGCCAAAGTGCTATACACAGGGGTCTGCCAGAGTGGTGAGTACACTGCTTCCTATGGTGACCTTCCACTAATCAAATGTAGACTTGCACACGAAGAACGGCACGGCTGCCTCGTCTGAGGGCACGCCCATCACAAACATCAAGATACCCCATGTGGGCGGCCATGAAGGCGTGGGACGGATTGTGACGCTCGGCCCAGGATGTGGATCAGACCTCAAGGTCGGGGGGCTGGTCGGGATCCGATTCTCGAGTCGGATCTGCAGACGATGCGAGTTTTGTCTAGCTGGAACCGAGCAGTACTGCATCAAAAGCACCAACCATCTCCACCATGAGGATGGAAGCTTCCAAGAGTACATCGCGTTGGATGCTGACTACTTGACAATCCTGCCGGATGACATTGATCCCAAAGTCATTGGCCCCGTTCTGTGTGCTGGGGTGACGGCTTACAAGGTACTTCACATCATTCGCCATGAGTATATCGCTGACAGTGTAGGCTGTTCTCAACGCGAACATTCGGGCGGGCAATTGGTTAGTGGTGGTGGGCGCAGGTGGAGGCCTCGGGCATTTGGCAGGTGAGTCGTATAGAGAGCAAAACGCCATAGGATGCTAATTGGTCAGTGCAATATGCGAAAGCACAAGGAGCACTTGTCATTGGCGTTGATACCGGTGACAAGCGGGACTTTGTCCTCAAGCTGGGCGCTGTCGAATTCATTGACTTTACCACAACGGACCCGGTGCAGCGCATTCACGAGATCACTGGTCTTGGTGCACATGCTGCTGTGGTGACCGCTGGCAGCGCTAAAGCGTTCGCTCATGCGTGCGAGATGCTACGAGTCGGAGGGGCCCTGAGCTGTGTGGGAATCCCCCCAGGACGTCCAACCTTGCAAACGCCAATCGCCACCATTGTGATCAAAGGGCTTCGGATCACCGGCAATCTGGTTGGATCACTGAAAGAATGTATGGAGGCAGTGGATCTAGTTCGCCGTGGGGTGGTGAAGCCCGAGATTAAGGTCAGGCCGTTCAAGGATCTGCCTCAAGTCTATGAGGAGATGGAGAAGGGCGATATTGCGGGGAGAATTGTGCTCCAGATATCAGAGTGATTAATAATCCTGCTGAAGGTGTAATCTATCCTGTGCAGTTTAGGTAGACAGACACTTCAATCAGATGGCCGATTCAATGCGTCGTGGAGTGGTTAAGGGATCTTCCACATTAGCTTCCTCGGACTCTTCCGTCTGACACCTCAAAATCTGCCCTGTAAGCCTGTTATTAACATAGTCAAGGCCGAGCAAACGCGCAGGAGCCTTGATCAAAGCTTCGGCAGTCTTAGCCCGGAGCAACGCCTCCAGCATGGGGTCTTGCTCCAAAAACGGCAGCAATTTCTGGTACAGAGCATGGAGAAAGTCCTGCGGCCTCCATTGCAAGGTCGGATGCACGGCGCTCGACCCAGTCAGCAGGATAATATCTGCTAGTGAGTTGGTCACCTCGAAGCATTTCAACAACTGCCCGCTCTCAGCGTGATTCTCAATCCCTGAAACAGACAGCGCTTACCTGATCACGACCCAATGGGAGCAGGTCCGACTCGGCAAACCCCTGCAGAGAGCATAGGAGAGAACGGCCCACAACGGCAGGAAAGCGGAAGGTCATGAGCTCGATGCAGGAAGTCGACGAGAGCAGCCGCTGCGCCAGTGCTTTTTGCCAGATCATCGTGCGCATCCATTCTTTTGTGATGCAGTAGTCCGCCAGACGCGTTGACGGCCCGCCCTCTTGCCCTGGAGACAGTACTGCCAATGCGGCCTCGGCCTCTGCAAGACATTCTGCACTCCCCAAAGTGCTTGCGCTTCCACGCCCGCTGCAGGTCACATCGAAGGTTGCAAACAGCCGACCCAGCTCCAGTAAGCCCTTCACTTCTGCGTTACCCTCGGAATCGAGATGAAGTATCACGACGGGACGTGTATAGGACGGTTGTAGCCCTAGATGCATAGCATAGCCCCTGCAAGCGTCAATAGCCGCCATTTCACACCGGATAGCCGCACTTTACCTCTCCGAGATCCAGAGAAGGAGAAACACCGCCTCCTTGTTGGCAACCACGTCAGCATCGCGTGCCATGCATCCCGCATCCAGCCCCAAAAGCCTAGCCCCCGCGATGGCCTCCTGTATGAAGGTCATCGCCGTGTGGCGTCGGTTGATCTTGGCGTGGTACACATGCAGGAAGAACGAAACGAGGATACCTCGCACGTCGGGGCGCTCGCGACAGGAGCTCGCGTCCCGCAGCCTCATGCACTCGGCCGCCAAGATCGTGCGGTCGACGGTGATGTGTCTCATGCGCAGTGGTGACAGTTGCAACTGCGCCATGGTTGCGGCAGAGAGGGCCAGAGCTAAGCAGAGGGTGTCGACTGGCGGCGTCGACTCGAGCTTCTCGAGGAGAGCGGCGGCATCGATGACCGGCCAGACGCTGTACGAGGATTGCCGGTAGAGCTGAACGACATATGCCAACGCTGCCAGGGGGACTGTAGTGCGGTGCGTTGGAAAGAAATCGTCGGGAGCTGTAATGGGTGCATGTGTTTTGGGATCAGACCATCGTCGCACCTTGGGACCTCTGCGCCGGACGGGTTTGAGGTAGGTGCAATTGACCTGGTTGGGATTCTGGCGACAGGCATCGCAGGGGCGGGCGCCGCTGCATTTGACTTTCCGGGCGATGCATTCATCACAGGCTTTTTTGACGAGGTGGCGCATCGTGCTGGTGGGAACTGAGAAGTAGACAGACGAAGCGTGAGGAGAGAGGCGAGAGGCGAGAGACGAGAAGGGAGAGGGAGGAAAGAGGGGAAGAAGCGGAGCAATGCAGATGATACTCTGTAACTTAAGTTATAAGTTACTGTCACTGCATGCACCTTTCAGCTCCGTAAGTTACTACACATGACTACATGTACACACTTCTATCCCCCTTTCCTTCACAACATCTGTACATAAACTAGATACTAAATGATTCATTGGCAACAAACTGAACTCATCCTTCCAATCCCGACCCGCGGAACCGCAACTCCGACGTCATCGGCCCTGACCCACTTTTTCCACTTTGTCCACTTTTTCGTCTTGGACCTTCCTTCATCCCACGCTCTTACCAATGCCATTCCCCGCGGGCGAACCCCGACGCGGAGAGAAGACTAGGGTATAAAACCCCTCATCCCCGGCTGATCACATAACTGGGACTTTGCTTTTACTCTTCAGACTAACCCCCTATACCAAACACCAACACCATTAAACCACCAAACCACCAAACCACCAAAATGGAAGACCGACCCCTCACCCAAGTCAGCACCGACGTACGTTACGCTCTCCCCTAAAAACCACCCCTCCACCACTCCACCCTCTGCCCCTCAACCACCTTCCCCCCATGATCCCCTAACCCCCCCAAACCACCACCTCCAAACCCTTCACCATCCATACAAACAAATACTAACCACAAAGAAAAAAAAAGCCAATAACCCTAACCGCCCACGAAACCTCCCCCGCCCTCCTCTTCCCAACATTCACCGCAACAACCGCCTTCAACCTGGGCCTAGCCCTGCGCACCCGAATCCTCTCCCTCCCCGTCTCATCCCGCAAACCCGCGCTCATCAGCATCACGCTCACCACGGCGCCCCTCCCTTCCACCGACGCACAACCCGTGCCCCCACACGTCGTCTTCCAATGCGCCACGGAACCCGGCACGATCCCCGATAACGAGGTGTGGGTCCGCCGGAAGCGGAATACCGTGTTGCGGTGGGGGGTGAGTAGTTGGTTGATGCGCAACAAGCTGTTGGCCACACTGAGTGATGCAGACAAGGGGCAGGTGGAGGCGGCGTTCGTCAAGAAGTATGCCCTCCGGTCGAGTAATGCCGGGGCGGTGGCGGATGATTATGCCATCCATGGCGGGGGGTTCCCCGTGCGGGTGCGCGGGGTCGATGGCGTGGTCGGCGTGATTGTGGTCAGTGGGTTGAAGCAGGAGGATGATCATCAGGTGATCGTGGATGTCGTGAGGGAGTATATCTCTCAGGGAGGGGGGGAGGTGCCTGCTTCTTCGTAAGGGTAGATCTGGAGGTGGGATTGAACAAATACTCCCGCCGTACTCAGTATCAAAGTTGATCAGTTAAGCCAAACTTGGTCTTGCTGCAGTACTTCCGTCCGAGAGTGTAAGCCTCTTCATTCATTCTGTATAGAGCATCGGGAGAGCATCCTTCTAGGATAGGTATCATATTTAAACTATCAACCCAAAATTCTGGTTGGTTGGTCTTGAACAATCAAGCAATGCAAACTCCGGAAAAAATCCCTCTAAGAATAACTTATTTTACAATTCGTCATGGCCATACGCCTCGTCGTCCTCATCCGCCGGGGCAGAGCCATAAAGCTTGCTGGTGATGGGGTACGCCACGTTGGACAGCTGCTCCTTCTGCTCCTCGAAGTCCTCCGTGGTAGCAGTGGCCGCGTTGTCCTCCAGCCAGTCCGTCACCTCCTTGACGGCGTCCAGAATGGTCTGCTTGTCGTCCTCGTCGATCTGGCCACCCAGTCCGTTCTCGTCGTTGGCCTGGTTCTTCAGGCTGAAGGCATAGTTCTCCAGTCCATTGCGGGCCTCGATCTTAGCCTTGATGGCCTTGTCCTCATCCGCGAACTGCTCCGCCTCGGCCACCATGCGCTCGATCTCCTCCTGGGACAGACGGCCCTTGTCGTTGGTGATGGTGATGGACTCGGCCTTGCCAGTGCCCTTGTCGCTGGCGCTGACCTTCAGGATTCCGTTGGCATCAAGGTCGAAGGAGACCTCAATCTGGGGAACACCACGAGGAGCCGGGGGGATGCTGGTAAGCTCGAACTTGCCGAGCAGGTTGTTGTCTTTGGTCAGGGAACGCTCACCCTCGTCTGGAACCCAGTTAGTATCTGATGGACCAAAACATCGACACGATTCAACTTACAAACTTGGATAAGAACGGTGGGCTGGTTATCAGCGGCGGTGGAAAAGATCTGGGACTTGCGGGTGGGGATGACGGTGTTTCTGGGGATCAACTTGGTCATGACACCGCCAGTGGTCTCAATACCGAGGGTCAAGGGGTTGACGTCCATCAGAACGACACCACCGGTACCCTCCTCACCAGACAGAACACCACCCTGGACGGCAGCACCGAAAGCGACAGCCTCGTCGGGGTTGATACCCTTGCTGGCCTTCTTGCCACCGAAGAACTCCTCGAGGAGAGCCTGGACCTTGGGGATACGGGTGGAACCACCGACAAGGACAATGTCGTCAACCTCGGACTTCTTGACCTTGGCGTCCTTGAGAACCTGCTCAACAGGTTTCAGGGTCTTCTTGAACAGATCAATGTTCAGCTCCTCGAACTTGGCACGGGTCAGGGTCTCAGAGAAGTCCTCGCCGTTGTGGAAGGCCTCAATCTCAATACGAGTAGACATCTGGGAAGACAGAGTACGCTTGGCCTTCTCGACCTCACGCTTGAGCTTACCCATGGCCTTGAGGTCCTTGCGGACATCGACGTCGTTCTTCTTGTTGTACTGCTTGACGAAGTAGTCCATGACACGGTGGTCGAAATCCTCACCACCAAGGTGGGTGTCACCAGCGGTAGCCAAGACCTCAAAGACACCGTCGTCGATCGACAGAAGGGAGACATCGAAAGTACCACCACCAAGATCGTAGACGATGACCTGGCGCTCACCATCAGTCTTGTCCAAACCGTAGGCGATAGCGGCGGCGGTGGGCTCGTTGACAACACGGAGGACGTTGAGACCGGCAATGACACCGGCATCCTTGGTAGCCTGTCTCTGGGCGTCGTTGAAGTAGGCGGGGACGGTGACGACGGCGTGGGTGACCTTCTTGCCGAGGTAGCCCTCAGCGATCTCCTTCATCTTGCCCAGAACCATGGCGGAAACCTCCTCGGGAGTCAGGATCTTGGGGGTCTGGTTGACCTCGACCTTGACAACGGGCTTGCCATCCTTGTTGACCACCTTGTAGGGGAAGTTCTTGGCGTCCTTCTGAACATCAGTGTCGTCAAACTTGCGACCAATCAGACGCCTAGACAGCATGTTAGCACCACAAAATCCACTCAGGCCAAAAAAGTCGCAACTCACTTGATGTCGAAGATGGTGCGGCGGGGGTTGGCGGCGTATTGGTTCTTGGCGGCGTCACCGACGAGACGTTCCTCATCAGTGAAGGCAACATAGGAGGGAGTGATACGGTTTCCTTGGTCGTTGGCGAGAATCTCAACCTTGCCGTTCTGCATCACACCAACACAACTGCAGGCCATCAAGTTAGTCGAGGTCGCGTCTCACACACCAGACCTTTTCTGCCTGTAGAATCAACTCACGAGTAGGTGGTTCCCAGATCGATACCAATGACCGTGCCGTAGTTGTCTTGTACCGACGAGTCATCCTGAGCGTGTGCGGTTCCGAGGAAAGCCAACGGCGCAATGAAAACAAGAAGCAGGTAGAAAACGGTGGTCCAAGCCGTGAAGGGCTTGGCCGCACCCTGACGAGCGGAGACGCGCGCCATGGTATGTGTAGATGTATGTGTGTAGTTGCAGTCCTCACCACAGGGACACGTAGCGATGTTTTTCGAGATCACGAAATGTGAGACTCCCTTATCCTCTCGTCAACAGTGTGTACCTGTCACGCGAAGAGAAAAGAGAAGAAAGAGGGTGAAGGGGAGGAAGGAAGGGAGGGGGGGGGAGGGAGGTTGGGTGAAAAGAAAGGCGACGAGGAAAGGAAGAAAGAAAGAATGTCTGGAGGGAGCTTCAGCCAGCTTTGTATGTTCCTTCCTTCTTGTATGGGATGGGCGGCGGCGGCAAAGAAAGCGCAGCGGCCATGCTGGCCTTTTCGCGGGTATTGCATTTTAAGGTTACTCCTCGCGCGGTGATTGGTGGAGAGCGCGTTCAGGGCACGGGCTGACTCAGCCATGCAGGAACACCGCCCGGGATTCTGCCGGCCCAATTTTCCAGGCGGTTCGTCGAACTTGCTAGAATCGCGTTCCGATTTGTTCGCTTGCTCCGCCTTTCCGAGGTTCGTCCTTGCAGAGACTCGAACTTATCCCGATCTGGCCAGTTGGTCACTGTGCCCAGTGTACACAGTACGTGAACGACCTGGCCACCTGCACCGTATCCTCCGGTCCCAATTCTGCTCCTTCCGCGCATTCTTGCGCCGTTCCATTGCGATCAACCTACAGGATTTAGACAACTGTCCCTTATTCCTGTCTGCGGGGTCGGGTGGCTGTCCACTATTCCTACTCCGTCCTCTTCTACATCTTTGTCCTCTTCATCATCAACACTTTGACTCATAAACAAGCCACCCGGGTCTCGAGTTTGAGGAAAGTGGATACCTCTCCACTCAGGAGGCTTCCCTTGCTTTCGGCCACTCTGTCCAAGATCCGTGTCGTTTAAGGCCAGTTTCAGTTGGTTTTGTCAGGATGACACAGGGTTTGACAGGGCTAATCTAGAAGGAACTACTGCGGACACGGCAGTCGTGATTCAGGCCAGACTGGCAAGATGGACATCACACTGCACATAGCTATCTAGTACCCAGTAGGAGTTATTGTCAACCTCTGAGACTTCACAAGAAAGTAAAAGAAAGAACGAACTGTCTATGTAGTAAATGCCACGTAATCACCGTCTGCTTCTATCTACTCCAACAAGCCAGCGGCCACGGTCTCGCCTCCGGCTCGAAGAACAATCCGCGTAGGCGCTTCGAGAGGCACCGCTTGGTCCATTTCCACCACAATCCGCGCCACTGTGCCTGGCGCCACGATCTTGGGCTTCTTCTTGAGGATGTTGCCGGATTGTTTATCCAGAGTTGCCACGAGCCGACTGATCCGTCCCGGTACATGCAGACGACCCCGGTGGATGTCCACCATGCTAGGCAGCAGGTGGTCGAAGGCCAGCACCTTGCACGTAAAGGAAGTGACATTGGCGATCGGCGCGGACGCCCGGCAGATCACGTCACCCGATCGAAGGTGGATGGGATCAATGTTGGCCAGGTTCAGGACAACGTTCTGACCCGCCACGGCCCAGTCACTGGGTTCTCCATCGACTTCCAAGCTCCGGATGGTGGCAGTCTCCCCGCTGGGCATGGTCAAGATCTGATCGCCCACTTGTAAGCTACCCGCATCGATGCGGCCAGATATCGACAATGGATTCTGCACGCTGCCACGGAACACATCGCCAATCGTCATTCGAAGGGGTTTGTCAACCGCATGGGAATAAGGCTCTGTGGCCTCAAGCTCATCAACTAAGGTGCGCCCTTGGTACCACGACACGTTCGGGTCATCGCTGCGTCGAGTGACGTTATCGCCGCTGATACCAGAGCAAGGCACAAAGTTGATGTTCTTGGGCTGGAAGCCGGCAGTCGTCAGGAAAGACGAGACCTGCTGCTCAATCTCGTCGAATCGCTCCTTGTCCCACTGTACAGAGTCCATCTTGTTCACAGCCACGATGATCCTCTGCACGCCCATACTCCGCACCAATAAAGCATGCTCCTTGGTCTGTCCCTTCAACCCGGACTCGAAATTGCCGATACTGGAGTCGATCACAAGGACGGCAAAGTCAGCCTGACTGGCACCGGCGATCATGTTGGGCACAAAGTCACGATGCCCGGGAGCATCAACAATCGTGAACACGGTCTTCTCCGTCTCGAACTTGTTGGTGGCGATGTCGATAGTCACACCCCTGGCTCTCTCTTCCGCACCTTGGTCTAGGACCCAGGCGAGAGCAAACGATCCTTTCCCAATCTTCTCTGCCTCCCGCTTGTATTTATCGAGCGTACGCTGATCGATCGCCTTCAAATCAGCAAGCAAGCGGCCCATCAACGTACTCTTTCCCGCATCAACATGGCCTACCCTGCTATTAGCAGGCGATACCATCGGAAACGCAGGGGGGGTGACCACTCACCGATAACCGCGAAATTCATGGCTCTCTTCCGTTCCGCTTTGCTATACTCTGACAAAACATCTAGATTCTTGCTCTTGACATTCACCTTCTCCTCAACGCTGAGGTCATTCAGCCCACCCGTCAGGTCAGCCTGCGCTTTCTTGGTACCTGCCGATTTGGAAGCAGGCTGTTTCGATTTGAAGCCTGCACGTCCATTAGGGGGAGATCCTATACTTTGCGCCGAATAGCCAAACCTTTAGCAGAGCTTTGTGCGTTGATGACAACATCGTCGGGGCTTGGGCCTGCAAAGTCAAAAGGTTCAGCGAGATCCTGTCCGTAGATTCTGATCAGGTCAAGAGTGTTTGCGGATAAGTGGCTGGGCTCGGTCATCTTCGGCCGGGTCGACACCCCAACAATGGCGCTGGCAAATGTGGACGGCGGTGCGCGGATGTTCACGGCAGCCTGCTCTGTCCCCTTGCCAATCACAGGTGTCGTCGACTCTGGGCTCGTAGATGTAGCCTCCGTTTCCTCCTCCTTAGGACTTTCTTGTGGCTTCAGCTCCGGGGAAGGCTTCTTGCTCGACAAGGAGCTACCTTGACGAGATCCTTTGCCGAAGGAACGCAGGGATTGCAGCCCCTCTGATGCCGGCTTCTGCGACTTGCCACTGGCCGCCAGCCTCTCGCGTAATGACAACGGAGCACCTTTGGGCTCAATGGGGGCCGTCGAAGGGGCTTGCTCAGCATCAGGTGTATCCGCAGCCGCAGGTGGGGTAGCAGCAGCAGTAGCCGCAGCCTTATCGCCCTCTTTCTTCCTGCGAGCAGCAGCCAACGCAGCCAGCTTCGACACTTTCCCTCCGCCCGCGCCCTCAGGCGCACCGCCCAGAAGGCCCAGTCGAGGGTAAAGCGGCTCCACAAGGATCTCACCCTTGCGGTGTGCTGGGACATTTAGCCAGGGAGCGTCGCGGAAGAAGTCTGCCGCCGAAAAGTGTGCCGCCGGGGAGGGAGACATGATAGGAGGAGCGAGATATACTGGCACTGGCAGAGAAAAAGCCTGTTAGAATCAAAACCGTCCCAGAGCTTTGTGGCGAGGAAGACAAGAAAGACGTCAGTTTGGACCAGTCGCACATACGCACACACACGAAAAAAAGGACAATTCATGTACTCACATTCCAAAAGGTCAAGATGATAACCAAGAAGCCCAGAAGAGCACCAGTGCTATGTGGTCCCGAGCCCAACCACCGACGAGAAAGAAATACAAAAAAAAAAAAAAAGGGACGGAAAACGTTGCAGGAAAGGTTTACCTGATGTCCCTTTCGTCTTTGGAGCGACAGGAGGAGCGGCCTGCTTCTTCTGAAGTTCCTTGATCTTCTTGCCTGGAGGGAAGTAATGCGGTGGTTAGTTGGGTCTCGTCTCTGCAACAGGATGCCAACCCCGAGGGAGCGGGAGTCATCCATTCCAACAGCGAGAGCACGCACCTCTAAGGTAATTCACCGACTTCTCCACATCATCATAGTAGTGGTACAGAGCATCCTGGACCTCGCTGCGGGTGGCGGTGACCGAGGGCTCCCCCGCACGCAGCTGGTTCAGCACCTCGGTGGTGCACTGCTCTCGAAACTCCTGCTCTTCGGGGTCGGGGGAGTAGTAGCCGTCGTCATAGTCATCCTCATCATCGTAGCTGACAGCCTTGACGCGATGGCGCGACATGGTGAGGTTGTGAGGTGTGGCGGTCGAGAGGGGCGGGGCAGGTTTGCGGAAGGAGGGGTTTTCGTTCGGATGGCGCACGGGTGCGACGAAATGAGATCTAAACTTTGGTCAGATGTTCTAGGGAGTCTGTGGTCTGTGGTCTGTGTGAAGCTCTACTTGCGTATCAGCAGACTGGTTGGTGAGACTGGGGCGGGGAGAGTGAAGGGAGCGTGTAAATGGAGAGAGAGAGATTGGCCGGGGTCAGTTTGTGGAAGCCGAGAGCTGAGCTGAGTTGAGCTGAGTTGAGTTGATCTGAGATCCTCCCGCAAACGCAACCACGTCATTCCCCACCCACCACCAGTCCTTCCAGTCACCGAGGGGATATTCGTCAATAAGCTTACAGTACAATAGAAGACAATTTACCCATGTCACTATAACAGACTCTAAGCAAAATATGGAATCTAAGTGTAATTTCTATTTCTGATTGAAGTGCGAAGCATGGCAAGCCAATTGTCCAGCGATACCCAACTGCGACAGTCAACTGAATCCCCTCAATCGAGGTCGCTTTCTAACAAGCGATTCATGGTATAAGTGTAATCAAAAGCAACATGTCCATATTGGAAGACCGTATCGCTTCCATCCAAAGCCGACGACGGGCCTTACTTCAACGGGCTGGCTCCAAAAATGTCGCTTGCGGCAGGGCTAGCAAAGCTGCCGTTACTCGGAGTCAAAGCGATCGAGCGTCGAAACGCTTGCCGGGGGGTGGCAGGGGCGCTACCGGCGGGAACCCCAGCCCCAACCCCAACGTCGGGGGTGCTAGGAGTATTGCGGCCGCTGCCATTCTGCATCGTCACCGCGGTTCCCGGACGAGAAAGAACGGTCGTGGTGCCGTTCCTGGGGGGCGGGCGGAATCCAAGCTTGGACCCTTCGCGGAAGATCTCCTCCAGAATCTGAGATACGACCCCAGCGTCTTCATACTCCTTGAATTTCTTCCAGAGGCGCAGCGCCATCCGCGCGTCCTCAATCGAGTCGTGTCCTTGGTTGTTGTTGTCGGTGGGCTCTTCTTGGATGAATTCCTTGAACACAGCCCAGGCGAGGTATCGGAGACTCAGACGCCGGTTCTTCCCGGGGTGGAAGAACAGATACTGCGTGTCCACCGTCTGGTTCTTGGGGACCTGAATGTTCACCTTCCGGAAATCGGAGGCCAGGCCGTGCCCGACAAACACACAGCCTAGATTCAGAAGCAGCCAGAGCTTCTTATATGCCACTTTCAGCGGGACAAGATTGTGTGGGCTAGTTCTGGGATCGAGGTCTCCGGGTTTGATACCAGAATACTGCGTAACGTAGTCCACAATGGGTTCTTTGATGTTGATATAATCGTCGATGAAGGGAACACCCTCGCGAAGCCCTGAGCCTCGGAGAACAGACACCCGAGCCAGGCCACTCTTGTTCGGCCGTACCACCTCTTGCGAGCCGTCTGCCTTGACATCGATTTCCGCTTTCTCGAGGTCGACGAACTCCGTATCCAGCGCAACAGGGGTGCCCGGAGTGGGCTTTTCCTCCTCGGTAAGTGTCACGCGCGAATCCACGGCTTGGCCAGCACTAGAGAAGGGAGTTAGTGAATGAGGAGCCACCAGAAACTCGAAAGAATACTTACTTCATAGACCAATCACGGAACAAAAGGGTGGTATCGAGCGACTTCTTCCAAGAGTCGTCCATGGAATGACGTCCATCCTTGACCTGGTAAGCCAAGACACATGGTATTTTCCAGGGCTGGTTGAACCGGAGGGCTTCATCTCTATCAACCTCAGTCACCAGGAAGTCATTGAACAAGTGCCACTTATTCGTAGGGTCTGCCTCCGGGGAGGAGATGGAGACATTGATGAACGAGACAAGATGAGCTTTCTGATGCTCGGGGATGTCGATCTCGCAAACCAATCCCACCAGTTCATACACCACAAGCCCAGCCATCTTTGACTGAAGTCGCAACTTGAGCTCATCGCCCTCGAAGCACAGAGCCTTGCCATTGTCGACCGCAATTCCAATTTCTTCCGGCAGCCAACCGGGAATAGCCCACAGGCGGCGACAGATGGGGTTACTCAGTGCTGCGTTGAGCATTAGGACCGGAGGCATTCGGTGTATGCTTTTCCGAATCTTCACTTGTTGGTACCGCCGACACAAGTTGCACCATCCTCTATTCTGTGTCTCCCGCTCTATGCTGGCCCGCAAGATGTTGGAGAAGCGGAAGGCAGGGTTTCGGCGAATTTGTTTTAGGTCAATGGCGGGATACACCAGCTCGTTGACCAGGGAATTCCCGGGCCGGACGATGTCGTTCTGACAGCACATGCATCGTATAGTTTCAGAGGCAACGGTGTTGAGTCGCTGATCGAGTTCTTCCGAGCTGGGTAAGATCATTCGGTGATCATGAGAGATTTGTGTTAAGAAGAACCTGTTGACCGCTTGGATGGCCGTAGAAAGAGACTTGGTCGTCAAGTTCTCCTCGAATAGGCCCAGACTGGACGCTTCACGAGAGCTACTGAAGGTCTTCAGGAGATTTGTCGCCTGGCAATTTTGACCGTTGGCTTTCTCGAGCATATCAAACAGATAGCCCATCTCACACAGTAGACAGCTCTCGAATATGCAAGAGCTGGCAGCGTGATGGAGCGCAACATTTCGGATCATCGGAATAAACTTGAAGAGTTGCAGGAGAGCGTTGGTAAAGGAATTCGCAATGTGTGTCTCGAGACCGGAGAAGGTCGTCTGGTTATAGAACCTGAGCTAGGTTAGCCATGCAGAAGAGTGTACAGCGAGATGATATATAACATACCGGAAGTCAAAATCATCCACACCAAACCGACTGTACTTGATTTCGACGTTGCTGTATTTAAGGAGCGGGTCGTCTTCCGCTTCACCGTTGAGCTTCGCACCAGCCAAGGCCTCCGTTGTGTCGCTGAGGGAACCATCGGACTTGACCTTGCTCTGCTCCCTGGCCTTCTCACTCAAGAATTTGGGAGCGATGAGAGCCGTGTCCGCAGTAGATAAAGCGCGAGTGTTCTCCACCTGGTACCGCCGCGTTTTCTTCGGGTTCGCCGCATAATGACCGATCTCGGCGGGGCGTAGGTAGGCGAGCAAAGCCTGGTCGACAGGGGCCGGGGGACTACCGACCTCGAAAACGAGATGGCTCGGCCACGCAGAGAATAACCGATCGTGGTAATACGGCATCCCGATCATATTCAGGGGCGTTTCCGGAGCCCAGTCCACAGGTGGCGGCCGCGGCGTGACATCGGCAAACTCGATTTCCTTGCTCATCTCGTTGAAATGCACCTTCGCTGGGGAGCCCCACAGATGGATCTGACACTCCGCATCATTGATGGCGAGCGCTTCTCCCGAAGGCGAAAGGTCAATACCCAGCATGAAAGAAACGTTCGCCTGGCGCAGGTTGATCGCATTGGGATTCATCAGGTCCACGACCTGAAGCTGGCCCGTCTGGGAGGCGACAAAGCTCGTCGTGTGCAGCTTCGGGTGCATGCGCACGTAGGCGGCACCCGCGTGGAAGGGGATCGGAGGTAACGGGGAGAGTGTTTTCAAGTCGTAGACATTGGCCAGGGGGTCCACGATCGGAGCGCCCAGGTGTCGGACCGAGAAGCCGCAAGTAACGAGCAGATCGTTCCGCGCATCCATGTCGTTGACGGCAGTGCCGTGGGCTTTCCACGACTTCACAACGCTGAAGTCATTCAGGCTCAACGCGTTGACGGACCCGGTGTCGGTTGCCGCGCAGAGATACCGGCTCTTCTTCATCATGGTGTAGTTGTACTCCGTCGGCAACTTGTCGACAATGATACCCTTATCGATATCGATGGTGAACATCACTTTCTGGCATCCGGCCACAATGATCCGGTTCGTTTGTGCGGTGAAACTCATGCAGCGAAGGTCGGTCATCTCTTCGTGGGCGATGTGCCACTGTGTCAGACCACGTCGGGTGATCATGTGTGCACTCTTCGAGGATATCGATAATACGCCTCTCTCGTGGAAGAGGATCTGTCGCACCGCGCCTTCGGACACGGGGTGTGCCCGAACAGAGGTATACCTCTGCATTTCGGGACCGTAGAAGGAGGTAATTCGGCCCTAAGCAGCCAACCACTAAATCAGTATCGCCAGCGGCATGTCATCGATTGATTAAACGTACATATTCATTTCCGGCCCACAGAAGTTCCATCACATCGTCGAAGGCTATTGTGGTCGCGACCGTCGGCAACCCATGAGGACTCGGAGGGGGCACGGGTATGCGCGACAATTCATCCCAATCAGCTTCCATGGCTGGACATGGCACCCGGGCAGATACCCGGGCCTAAGGATTTCGGGGTGGTTTGGGCTGGGTTGGGATGTTCAGCAGTAGGTGTGAGGGATGTCCATCTGGGAACAGGCGACAAGGTGCATCGTTCGGCGAAGCGCGAGTGCGGGGATAGAGCTTTGGTGGTGGTGGTGGTGGTGGTGAAGGTTGGGGATTTTGAATGTCGTGGCACAAGGCGCAGGGGAAGAATGTCGCGTCGAGTAGGTCGAGCAGCTCGCAGGCTCTCTTTAATCAACGGCGACTGAAGAGACGAAGTGCCTCTGGGGTCGAGAGGATTTGACGAGGTCTTGAGAACGGCAATGGAGGGTGAGAGACCAACACATCGTCACGTGAGCGAGGCAGGCGGGACGGACGAGGAATAAAGGTATTGCCAGTAGCAGCACCGACAGTCCACCATCATCCATATCTCATCAGTGAGTCATTCTGGATAGTGATTCAATTTTGACTATGCTCTCGGGATCTATTCAGCGTATATTGCATAGCGATGAGTCGTCGTCAGGAGGTCATGATGGTGCCTCAGCCGTCAGATATAAATACTAAAGCAATCCACCGCAAGCCGCAGAAGAAAATAGTATAAGCTGTTTTACTACGTGTTCTATTTACTCAGGGCAATTCTGGTTCTATCTGTACACCCCACTCATTAAGGGGAAGATCAGGTATATAGGCACACTGGCTTAATATAATATATATAAGCGTCATGTTCATATAACATACAGCTGAAGAAAGGTACTCGTCGCTGCGGCTGCCCCTCCACCTTACAGATAACTCCATCTCACATAACATACAAGACACATGTATTTACTACTCATGCGTAACTTGATTAATATCAGAAATTAGACTTTTATGTTGGAGATATAGACATTTTATAACAAGTTTTATTAGCAGTTCTTCTTTTACTTCATATACAATGAAACAGTTAGCGAGCGGCCCAAAAGCAGCATTGACACTTAATGCTGCTGCCCTCTGAGGGCTGGTTTATTGCTCAACTGTACCTTATTTTTCTGCTTAGTATGCTACTCTACCAGTAATCCCTCATCTCTCTTCTTCCATCGAAGAAATAACAAATGTGACAGATTTATTCGGTTGTGATCCAGCTTGCCAGCTCCTCACCATCCAGTAGTATCCAGTCCCCAGGCCGGACTGGCAACCCCCATGGATACGAATGTCCGCCAGTCAATGGAATATGATGGCTCATTTATGTCTATCGTCGAGTATCCTGCACGTTATATATAGAATACATGTGACTGCATTGAGTTTGAATCGATCTTTTGCGGCTTATCTCATCACTTCTCGAAGGAAATCTTTTTAGACTTCTTGGAATCAGAGAATCCCAATAGTGATATCTTGAGCTTTCAAAACCCCTCAGAATCCCTTTGAATATTTATAAGAAGTGTTCTTACGATGAAATCTTATATTTTTGTATATAATACTGGTTGTTTTTGGCATAAGGATCCCAACAAAGCCATCGTCACGACCACCAAAGTAGGCAAAGAAGCCTAAGCTTCGCCTCGGTAACTATAAAATCTGACTTCCAGTTCGCATCCCACTTGCCCCTTACATCCCCCCTACCTGAGCCATCATTACAACTTAAAAGCCTAAATTCCCTGTTCGAGCACAATCTTTCTTCTCCCTCTTTTAGTCATTGCCACCTCTAAGTTGCATCTAAAAGCGCGCAAAACCTCGGCTTCTAACCCTAACCCAAACCCAAACCAAGGCTGCAAAATGACCGATTCGAGCAGCGTCACCGCGGCGTCCCTCGACGCGGACGAAACCATGCGGCAGGCCGTGGATCGGTTCGCACGCGCATGGCGGCCGCCAACCGGTGGTTCATCCAGAGCTGCATCGCGGAGATCGATGACGCCCGCGGCTTCGCGACGGAGAAGGAGAAGCTCCGGCGGATGAAGACGTGGCGCCACTTCGAGGACCTCGACCAGGACGGGGGCTCGAGCTTCCGCGCTTTGACTCGATCCCGGAGTTCCTTGACTGGTATGCAAGCTGGGCGGATCACTTGGATGCTCGCGCGATGCTCAGTCTCCGCCGGCATGCAGAAGGGTGTGAGACGGATTGCGAGTCCGATTGCGAGGACCACGAGCCGTTGTGTTGGGTTATCGTTGTTCTTTGGGGGGGAGCAACCCGTTGAGCAGATCCATGGCGCGCGGTGCTGCTTGCATATATCTGGTTAGGACTTGGTTTCCGGAAAATGCTTCAAGAGATTCAAGTTTCTGTCAAAACTTTCGGGTTAGAACATGAGAAGCATGAAGGAATATAGCATCGGGATTTGGGGACTGCCATGACACAGAGATAACCTCTTCAGACTAATCAGCTAATCAGCCGTACTATCCAGCACATTCTTCCATGATTCCAATGTTGTTCCCTGTGTTGTCGACCCGTTCGTCGCTCGGACCAGCAAATGGCAGTAGCATCTTCACTGACTGTGGAGGGGTGGCCATTATCTCTCGCGCATCGCAGAGCTGTCCTTTTGGTTCCTTTCTTTCACCAGCCCATATTTGGATGTATGGAGTATAGGACGACAGATGTAACGGAGATTGAGATGGAGTGGATGAGGAACCCCGAGAGGGGCGGCCACGAACGTTCTTATTGGCACAAAGGTAGGCCCTACTAACACCACTTGACCAAGAGTGGCTTTTCACCTCTTTGCCTTACAAAGGTTGCTTCGAGGGACGAGAATATGGTACGGTCAGCCTTCAATGCTTCTACAGTTTTACCAGCCGGCATTCAGCCCGATTCAAGAATGCTTTCGCTGCCCCGTAGCGGAGACAGTACGGCTTTGTGATTCTGCTCGAATCCTGGGATTTCCCCTCCTCGAAGTGTGGCTTTTTTCAGCTGTTTTGAGATGGACAATAAACAGATAAATATGTAGGTACTAGTGTGTAAGTGTTGCTTAAAAGCAAAGAGAGAGAGAGAGAGAGGTGTAAGAGTATTATAATTATTAAGGCCTTTATAGAATTCGAGTAAATAAGATAGTTGGTTGCTAGGGAAGCTGAAAATGGCTTCCCCTATACAGCTGCCAGAACCGAGGATGCCAACCACTCCTCCAACCCCCAAATCCCCTCCTAAGACCTAACCACCAACTCCGGATGCACGACCTCATCATAAGCCTCCCCAAACGCGCCTCTCTGCACCCCCCCGCGCGCCCACCCTCTCCACCCACGCCGCAAGCGCAGGCAACCTCGCCGACTCCTCCTCCTCCAGCCCAACACCCCGAAGATTCCGCACGCACGCCCACGCATTGATATCTGCGAGGGTATCCTTCCCTGTGCCCGGGCCCGCCAGATACTCCCTCGGTGGGGCGTCATCTGCATACCGCGCTGAGAGATGCGCTTCGAGGACGTGGTACACGCGGAGGTCGTCGTGGAACTTTTTCGCTGTGTCTGCATCAAATCATTAGAAGCCAAACCCCCCCCCCCCCACCAATATCCAAGGATCATGATGAAAGTAGAGACAGTCCCCATATATCCAAAAATCATCAAACGAAAGACAAAACTCACGCTCATCCTGGGTGCTGCCACCCCCCCTCCGCCGAAAATAATTCCACTGCCCCTGCACCGGCTGCCCCGACACAGCCCAGAAGACCGTCCACTGCAGCACCTGACTCTGCAGCAGGGGATGGGCGAAACCGAATTGCTGGGCACGATTCACGGTGTGGAAGAGATACAGCATAAATGCATGGCTTCTATATGATTGAGGGTGGTGGTGGAGATGAGAGGATGAGAACGTACTCGAATAAACTGGAAGTGACCAGGGTGCACATGCACAGCTCGGTTGCTGTCAGCGGCGCTAATGGCGTGCTTATTGGCATTATGATAGGATGGTATATCTAGAAGCAGGAGATGTCGACGCCAATTCTTAGCAGTTCTTCGCTATGGACCAACAAGGATACAGAAAAATCTATGTACGAAGGACTACTGTGACCAACATGGAAACCTCAGTACCCTCTAACCACAGCATCATAGCCTCCAGTACTCCACATCGACCTCCAGACCAACAACATCAACTAGTCAATCAGGAAGCACCTATCCATAAACCAACAACTGCCAATCATCCTACCAACTCACCCTACCCTCAGACCAGAACCACCATAAAACCGAGTACGGCCTGCAGTTGCCGTGGACAGGTATAAACCACATACGATACCCCGGCGAATCTCCGTGGCGCGACGGAGGTTTATAAGTAGTTAGTTGTAGTTTACTTACGGGTCGATGCAGTGTTGCTCATCTGGGCTTGATTGGGCCACTCCCGAGATACATCCCGATTGGCCTGATCCGATAGAACTGGACTTAGGTCACCAATAATCCATGCGCAGATGTAGTTCGAGGTTGCTTTATACTTCATATTTCTACCGGAGCGTATGAGCTAGGGGCGATTAGAGTATGTCCATATCAACATTATTTGGTAGTTGGCACCAATTCTCTCCTACGATTCAGCTACAATCATGAAAAACCCAAGGGAAAATCCATATTGCAACAACAGAAACAAACGCTATGGAACACAATGTGGTATGAAAATCCGCCTCCCCACTACCCGATATCGAGCCTGGTCAACAAGCAATGAATATCAGGAGAAAGAAGATTTGCCGTTCATACCTCCCATACCACAACAATCCGTCAGCTCAATATTAAACATGCTTTACCGGTAGTACGAAGCAGGGTTGGACACGTCGGTTTGCGAGGGGCTGTATGCCTGGTAAGAGCCTGCGCCGGGGGTCAGAGAAGGGTAGGGTGTGGGTGTGGATGCTGTGCCTGGCACTGGCGGAGGCTGGTGCATCGGAGCTGGTTGATGGGTGGGGTAGGGGGGCTGTGCTTGGTGGTGGGGGGCGCTGGCCCCGGCTGGAGGTCGGTTGGCGTCTTCAGGAGGGTAGGAAGATGGTGGGAATTCCGGCTGCTGCGGTTGTTGCTGAGCCGGGAAAGGTGGCTGTGCTGAAGATGGCGGTAGGACTTGTCCGGGATACTGGGGGCGATGTTCGACAGGAGAGTCGTAGACAGAGGTACCTAGTTCTTGCGGGTTGTCATATGTCGACTCGGGACGGTGGTGTGTGGGCTGATAGAACTCGTTCGAGGACTGGCGCTGCTGTTGCTGATACGGGGCGCCTGCTGGAGGTGTGACTCGCGGATCAGGAGATTGCGAAGTGGGAGGGTACGCGTGAGCTTGTTCTCCTCCATAGTAAGGGGTAGGGGTGGACTGCGCAGGCTGGGCTTCTGTTCTCATGTTAGATGACGGGATCACCCTAAGGGAACAATATTAGGCGAACCTGAAGGACGAGGACTGAAGTATCGTTGAGGATCAGCCTGGGGCGGGGCTTGCGGATATCCTGCTGGAGCCGGGTAACCGTAAGGAGTTTGAGCCGGCCGTCCATACTGGGGTTGTGCAGGGTGGGACATTGACGCCTCCAAGAGCGACTCGTAGTCTCGGCGGGCTTTGATGAACTTCTCATTGAGCTGCGTAAACTCATCTATAGTACAATCAGCAAATGTAAGTCCCCAATACGCAGTATAAGAACACCTACCCTTCTTTTGAGAGTATTTGCCAATGAGCTCAATCAACTTCGGCCGGATGGCCAAGGTCGAGTGATACAGAGTCGTGATTTCCTCATTGTCCTGCACATTGAGCTCGGAACTGCGAGTGCTCAGAAGTGTGAGAAGCTTCTCGACGTTCTTGATCTGCCCGAAGACCTCCCCCTCCATCTGAGCTTCCCGCTGCAGCTCCTCAACCGTAGGGTCGGGCAACTTCTCGACATAGTTGAGAGGGAAGATACCCGTCTGGCCCCTCAGGGAACCCTTCCACCAATCCTTGTAGACCGATTCCAGAACAGCAATAACATCTCCCTTGCGGAACTGCAATTCACCGGGCTCGGAGGGCTGGAAATCAAATAGTGCCCGCACCCGCGACACCGTGGCCGCGGAGGTTCCGGAGGGAACAGGCTGGGCTGGTGCGGCCACCGGAGACTCACTGACGGGTGCTGCGGCACTGGAGCTGCCGGCTTGCGGCTGGGCCTGAGGAGCCGCGGAGGGCTTCTCCCTGATCGAGAGCGCAAGCGCCATCTGTAACTCCTCTTCTTCCTTCTGGCGATCTTGGTCGGTGATTTCTCGCTTGCCTGGTTTCGAAGGAGGTTGCAAGTTTGGATCTAGAGCCAGAGCTAATATAAGCCTCCAAGTCACCACGAATAGCTCATTTTCCCTCCTCACTTACTCTGAGTCTTCAGCTTCATGTACGCCTGCTCCATGATCCCAAAATCGGGGTTACTAGCAAACATCTCCGTCCATTCGTGCATGCGCTCCAGGATCTTAGCTTTGACCTGTTGATGTGTGTTCTGCCGGGCGCGCCAAACTCATCAGTAATTTTTCCCAGCGATACACAACAACCAGCAATGCACTCACCCGATCGCCAGCCAGACGCAAAAGGGCATCCGTGAAGCTTCTCGACGCCAGTTCACGGTGAATCTTCGGCCCACAGTTCTGCGCTAAAGCATTCGCCAACTAAAGTTCGAGCAACACAAGCGTCAGCACTGTATACCCCAATTGACCAAAACCACCCCCCCAACTCAGCAAATTAGAATCGCGAACCTCCAAAGTATACAGCTGCACATTGGCATTCCTATGCGCAAGCCTCTTGATCAAGGCGGCCACGGCATCCTTCGCACTAAACAGTCACCCAATCCCACTCGTCAGCGTCAACCCCTGACATCGAGGAATCTGCGAGCACAACAGAGACAAAAAAAGCGGAAGCCATACCCGGACTCCTCCGCAGCAACCTTGTCACAAACATCCTATGCGCCAGATTTGTCAGAAACCCTTCCCCTGAGGCAAAATTAACCTAGCACGTTGCCGGAGAAAAGCGTACCAGAATATACTCCCAGTTCTCGGCGGTCAAATTCTCGTCGGTCGCCTTGGCTATTGCGGGAAGTTGTATACGTCAGCGACAATCGATCAGATTATCACATAAAGCATGTGTTGTAATGAAAGGCACAAGCTGGAGTGAATCGGATAGGATATTACTGACCGACTGCATCGTCAAATGCGTTCTGCTGCGCGCGAAACATCTTTAGTGCTGTGCCTCAGAGCACCAGGGTGAGGCGATCGGAGAGAGGTAGGAAAGGTGGCGGGGATGCGCCGTTCGAGTAGCGAGTGGAGGAGGGTATGAGGGCAGCACTTGCGCCACTGGGAAACGATATGAATTGAATGGAGGAGTGGTGGTGGACGTAGTGTCAAGGAAATGACTCGTGGTTTTGGTGGAGTGAGTGAGTGAGTGGCTTTGCTTCGTTGCTGGAGTCCGACTACCCAATTGCGGGGAGGTACAGCCTCGATGATGCAGTTGCGGAAGTGTTGTAAATAGGCACTAGGTATGAATTAGGAGGTGAGGAGAAAGGGGTAGCAGTGGTTGGAGTCAGGAGGTGTAGTAGATATATCAACACTGCAAGTATGAGCACTGTGAGTAATTATAAACACAAACACCACAGTGAGGCGGGCAAGACAAGAACGGGGGGAACAAAGTGAGAAAGAAGCACGAAGGCTGCAACCTGATGAATGCTCAGCAGGTGACGATGGATCGCGGCAGCCCTCAGGCGGAGGGTGGTCGCCTAATCTGGTCTAGCGCAGTTCTGGGACTGCCCTGAGCTCCCGATGACGATATCAGCTATGCTGGCTGCATTCTAACTACATCCAGTACGAAGTACGAACAGACTGGACAAACACCCTCAGTCCACAAATGGCACTGGATTCTATGAACACAACCCATTATTCTTCTCCCCAAATAGAACGGCAAAAAATGCCGTAGAAAGATATCTCGGGTTTCCGAGGGTAATATGGCTGGGAAGCCAGCCGAAGCAGCAGTAGGGACTGTCGCTATCTGAACAGAATCACAAAGCTGATCAAACAAATCGAATCAAGTTCATGCTTTTGTTCTTTTGTCATGCAAGGAAAAATGCCACAAAATGCCTCATAAATCATCACCGGTCGGAGCGAAAGCAAGAAAACCCCAAGGGCAACAGCGCATCGATATGGATATGGAAACGGGGGAAGGCGCTTCAAGTACATGGTACATGCAAGCGCAGACTTGTCACTCGTAATGTGGCACAACAACAGAGATCGACTCGAACCGTAGTTGAAGCAACCCGGTACGTTCACTAGTATGATTTCGCACAAGGACAAATGCCGGAAGTAGAGAAATTTACAACCATTTTTCCACCTTTCCACAGACTGACCTGGGAAGACCAGCCATGCCCGTCGAGATACAGTGTGCATGTGTTCGATTGGCGAGGGCTCCAGACCTCCAGCCCCACAAGCACCGCAACAAAAGGTAAGATGAAAGGAAGGTCATCACATGAAGAATCCATCGCCGTCTAGATAATCAAGGGAAATCCGCAGGAAGAAACAGAGAAGGGTGAACAAGACGTTGGTCATTATGCGATGCCAGCATAAGATGTCCAGCAAATATGAAAACATCGGGAGTCATGGGTATCTGAGAGAGAGAAGACAGAAGATATCGACGTATATAGTAACAACAGTGGAAAGTCACGGTACCTAGGCACCCCCCTTTTGAGCCTTTTCTTGCGCTCTGTTGGCCCGCGCGGCCTTCACAAGCGGCGATAGATGTGAAAGAGGGGCGCAGAGAGACATGAACGGATGCTGACACTCAATTAGCAAGGGGCTCAACCAGCCAAAAGGAAACAGTCGACATACCTTGAGCAGGTCATGAGCAGACGCTCTCTTCTCGGGGTCCACCTTGAGGGCGAGGTGCAGGAAGTCCCGGAAAACAGGAGACAGGTTGTGTTCGTCCTTGATCGTGGGCGTTCCGTTGGTTGCGATCAAGTACAGCGCCCGCAGCGGCGACTCGGTCAAATAAGGGGGCTCGCCCTCAATCATCTCAATTGCCATGATTCCGAGACTCCAGATATCGACCTTGCGGCCATACTCCTTTCGGGTAACGACTTCGGGTGCCATCCAGTACGGCGTACCCACCATAGTGTTTCGCTTGTTATGCGAATCGTTGATCTGGGCACAGAAACCAAAATCGGCTAGAAGTGATGTTAGACAGATCGTCCGGGCCACGCCCAGCATGGAAGAGACAACTTACTCAATTTAATGTTGCCATCCAGAGATAGAAGGATGTTGTCCGACTTGATATCACGGTGAATGACACCTTTCGAGTGAAGATGCTGCAGACCACTCAGAGTCTTAAAGGTGTCAGCCTTTTGAAACAAGAGACTAACAACAAATGATGTAGCTTACCTCTCTGCAAACGGCGGCAATCTGCCCTTCACTCATGATGTTGAATGTGACCACATCGGTCAAACTGCCACCTTCCATATATTCCATCACCACCCATAGATCCAGACCGTGAAGGTAGCTGTCCAGGAAGTTGACGATGTTCTTGTGCTTGCTGTCCTTCATGACCAAGATCTCGTTGATGATAAGATCTTTCTTGGGCTGCAAGTCGAGATTCATCTGCTTGATAGCGACACAACTATTGGAGTTATTCTCATACGCAGTATAAACGCCGCCCGATGCTCCCTGACCAATCTTGTTAAGGTGGTGGTAAAGCTTAGTCGGGTCGCCGGGCGTGCAAATCGCGAGTAGTCGTTGTCTAACGTCCATGATGTTACTCTGGCGGGCCCGTTGCCGCGGACGAGCGGCGGGGGCGGCGCCGGCGGCGGCAGCAGCAGCAGCAGCCGCAGCCGGAGCAGCGCGTGCCTGCTGAATCGAAGCAGATGTCTCTTCCACGGGACTGATGTGCTGAGGAGGTGCTTGCTGCGACGCTTGCTTCTGAGCAGCCTGCTGCTGACGCTGACTGCGGCTCCGCTCAAGTTGTTTGCTGACAATCGCCTGCTGGGCTGCAGCCATCGCTTGCTCCTGTTGCTGCTGATACTGAGCCGGAGATGGCGCCGTCCAGGGCACGGGCGTACCATTTGCCTTGGAGTTGGATCTGCTGAGCGGGTGTTGTTCCTTGGGTAGAGGCTCTGCCTCTGGAATTGGGGGTGTGGCATAGGCCTGAGCATAAGCATCCTGAGCTGCTCGGACCGGTGCTGCAGCGTAGGTAGCTGCGGAAGGCGGTTGCGGAGCGGGGCGAGCTGGGGTGACGGCGCCTGCGCCCGGGGGCTTTGGCGGGGCCCGGTTGGGAACGAATCCACCCACCGGTGGTGACATAGCTTGGCCTGCTGCAGGAGTACCGCGAGGAATTGGGGGCGGCGCTCGGGGGTTCTCAAAGCTGCCTTCATGGTTTTGAGGGAATCGAGGGCTGGTTGGGGGCGAGACTCGCTGCGCGCCAGGACCATAGGAACCCGTGCCGGAGGCCGGACTGGCCGCTGACTGGGGTTGCGGGTATGCATGGTCAAACTTGTGCCAAACCTCATCATCACCCCGGGCATTCTTCTCGTAGAATCTCATGATATCGACCATGGTCTGGGGGTGCTCTTCCTGCTCCTTCTTGGAGATACCGCTTTCCTGTAATAATCGTTGCCATTCTTTCGGAAGACCAGTGAACTGGCCGGTCTGGTTATCGTAGCCGACATGAGTGACGTGGACGGGGTTCTCCGGAGCGGAGATCTTGATGCCTCGGGGAGAACCGAGCATACTGTTGACAAAGCTGGAAAAACTGCTCTTCTTGCTTCTGCCTGCGAATGGCCTGGTCGTTGTGTTACCCTCGTCGGAGAGACGCTTCGGATTTACCGAGCGGTCATTGTCGGTCGCCCTGTGCACAAACGTCTCCATTCGGCTCTGCAAGGTAGCCAGGCTAGCCGACTGTCTCAATCCTCGGGTTTCAGGGCTTGTGGCCGACCGCAAAGTCGGGGGCTTTTCGGGCACGGGATCAGACTCAGTCGAATTCTCTTTCAAAGAGCTGAGCATGCCCCGACTATCAAACGGGGTGCCAATCAGTTCATCTGAGCTCTGCTCACTGAGAGAAAATCGGCCGGCGGGGGGAGGGCGGGATTTGAAGGAATTATTGCTGGTCGGAAAATAGCCCGACTCGTTGCCAGAGTGTGCTGGAGACGGATTGCCGCTGTTCTGCTCGAGGGAGGATGAGGATGATCCGTATGCGTTCGATCTCGTCCGAGTGTGCTCTCGACCTCCAGCAGCGGCAGCGGAACGAGGGTAAACGGGGGCTGAGGGGTGACGTTTAAGGGAGGTGTTGCTCTGCTGACTCTTTAAGATGCGGGACGTGAAGCTCGGAGGGTCTTTGTGAAGCTTGCTTGACGACCGTCGGAATTTTAGGGAAGAGAAACTATCGTGATTCATGACGTGCGGTTTAGGGGGGAGGGGGGGAGGGGAGAGGTGGAGTGACAGTTCGAGCGACTGGTGGCAGCAGGGTTGAACGATCAAGACTGAGGTTTGATTGGAGGGAGAGGGGAAGCCACTGAGTGAGGCGGTGCGCACTGTGCTTCTTCACTACCGGTCACCTTTGGTTGACGATAGGTGTCGAATGGGGACTGCTGGCGGGGAGGGGAGGGGTGGGTGCAATGCTGCACGGTCAGATCGATAGCCCCAACGGGGAGGAGGGGGGAAGTGAAATCTGATGGAGCAGCGACGGAGGAATCGGATATGTGAGAGGGATCCAGAATACTTGGACAGACGCAAGGGAGGGCGCGAAAGAAGCTGCCGCGGGCTACCGTCAACCAGTAGTTAGCACGTGGAGAGCATTAGGCGGTGACTGAGGTTGACTGACCTGACCTGTCTTGTCTCTGTGTCGGTTTCTGTCTGACTTGTCGGTGTTGGTGGTAACGGGTAAAAGGGGAGAAGGGGGGGGGAGGAACAGACAGCGCAGACAAAAGAGAAAGTACTGTAGGTTTGGTATGGTAACAGAAACAGAACCCTCACAGTAGAATAATTCACTAAAAAATAGGAAAATTAAAAACAGCAACAAAATGTCAGTGATGGAATTTATTTTCTGGTGAATGTAGGATGCACTGCAGATAACCGACAGCTCAGCACACAGATCTGCAACACCAAGAAAGTAATAACATAACAGTCACCGAGAAGGACGGCCAGCGATGACGGTGGGAGAGAGAGGAAGAGGAGGGGGGGTTGGGGGGGTTAGAGGGGGGGAGTACGGAGGACTAGACTGAATGGTGGAGTGAGGTGAGGGAAGCAAGCGATTGATTATTGAAGCGAGTGCTAAAACGGCCCGTCATTCTGTATTATTTTTACAACAACGGGTCCAGCCACAGACGGCAGCGGCTGGTATCAAAAACTACTTACGGAGTAGACAAGGTACCTAGTAGTAGTAAGTGTACTCCTTAGTGATCGGGCGGTCAACATTCCAATCATAATCCCAGCGCCTTGGGAGACAAACTGCCAGCCTATAGGCTTCTTGTTTGTTGTCCCTTGTCCAACCCATACAACTGCTGGGAGACTATCTCCTATCAATCACAGCAAGCAATGACGGTTGTCTAAAAGGGGATGTCGGTCGGTATACTGTAGTGCCCAGTGCACTACTGCCAGTACAATCTGTAGTTACATACATACAATACTGGCCGGTACTTTTGTTATCCCC